TCCCCAGACTGACGCACCGAACCTTGGCATCCGGCCAATGAGAACACACTTAAGGTCAGAGGATTGGCTTTGAGCGGCTGGCGAATCGCACAGGGTTTTGCAACATTATGGACTTTCTTTGTAAAAGTTTTGGACGTTCTTTGCAAACGTTTGGACCTTCCTTGCAAAATTTTGGACTTTCTTTGCAAAATTTTGGACCTTTTATGCAACTTTGCGGGAAATGCTATAGTTCGTTCGTACATGAATTATAGACGCTTATTTGAGCTTGTTCCTTGAGCTGCTTACGTGATTCGGCTGTGCTAAAATTGAGCGTTGAATTATCGTAAACACTCTGATCTGCTGGTCTACTGGTCTCATATGATCGTGGAAACCAATGTTTCCCGGATAGCACGACACATTTCTAGAGAATGCTTAATGCAGTCTTCAAGGCAGTGCTATGCGCAAATAGCAGTTACTTCAAGGAATCAGGTAAGTCCTAATTCCCTAAATCAGATAAACATGTCTCGCCAAATTTCACTTAACTGACGGGACGTCGAAGGGGTATGGACAGACTATGAACCAATCGTTACTCCCATACGCTTTCCCTCTGGCCTTCTGTTTTCTGGTTTATATAAGGGGCATGGCATATAGATGGGATTGTGAATAGCGCAGAGCAGACTGTCCAAAGTTTTCCGTAGACACAAGCGCGTTGGATGTGACCGTTGTCTGGTTTATTACTGATGCAAAACGAATAGAGCCAATTGCCCTAAAGCAATATGTTACCGGTGAATTCCTTGGCTATTCAACTAATCAGATTGTAGGTTTCTCGACGATGCGAAAAGCTGTTCCCTAGAAGCGAAATGAGAGTTCAGGCAATTACTCTCTTCCTGTTTCAAGAACAGTGTATGTCCTGCAGGCTTCTTGGCTGAGAAGCCACTCTCATTTGTTTGGACTCCCAGTTATGACCAACTAAGTACACCGTAATGCTGACAGTATCTATTCCTGACATACTTCGATTGTGATTTTGATCCTGCTAACTAAACTGTAACGTGTGATTATACCTAACACTTGCCTGTGTACTTTCGGGTACACCGCAGTCAAGAATGCTTACGAACCACAGATAAACAGACCGATTTAGATATGAGTTTATTTGGTTCAATGCACTTAGATTACAAGCCACGAAAGTAAGCTTCAAATCTGGAAAGACACCAGGCGGTCATTTGGCCCTACTGAGGTTTGGCGGTGGTGCGCATGCCCTCGATCCTCTGCTGGGGACAGAACCCATGCTTGCTAGTGACTTGCACCAATGGCCATCAGCTTATGCCACTGAGCCATGCGGGGAAATAGACGAAAATCACGCATTCCAATCTAAGTGCTATATAGAGCTACTCATTCTTCAATGCCGCGCTGGTCACTGGAGTGCAGAGGATAGTTCTTGGCCATCGGGCTCAGGAATTCACTTGCCAGTGCGGTGAATCCACACAGCCTTTTGAGGACTTGACGGGCTTAATGTTTATTACCGATAAAGCCAGATGATTTGATCGATGAGACCTGAGAGTACATCTGTCGTACTTTTCTCCAAAATTGTGAATAGATGGCCAGACACGAAAAGTACGCATGCAGTTATATCAAGTGACGAAGTCGAAAAATTTGCACATCTGTATGTTTGCCAAAAAGCATTCAGATCAGCGTCGCGACGGTAATCGATAAAGTTGGGGATTTTCAGTCGTTTTACAGTCGTGAATTGAAGCCGCTTCTAAATAGCAGATGGCTATACCATTTCATTTTGAACTAGTAAACGGTAACAACTATGAGGATGCAAGGAATCGAGTGAATAACAATAGGGCGGAAAACCTCCTAACCAAAAATTTGAATGCGGTTTGAAATCCCTGAATGTGTTCTTCAGACTATGTTATTCAAACTTAAGGTAGCCAGGTTTTGATTAGTAACGCATTTGTGAAGTAAGCGGTCTAACAGACAGAGAGCTTTACAGTGAATTGATGTGCCACACCCCAAAAGCAAGTTCGACGGTCACAGTAGGCTTTTAGACCAAAGGGCATTTTACCATAAGTCCGAATGCGAATAGATCTGGTTGGCGGTTTAAGTCCTGATTAGTTCGCAGAGCTGAGTAATTTGATTGCAGTGGTTTCAATCCCATTCTAGGTGGCATCTTCAGAGCTTAGCAGCAACATCTTGTTAGCAATTACTGAGCTCCGAGCAACTTCAAAGACGGATTCTCAGATGTTTTTATAGGTTACATATTCGTTGACTACTAAACTAGGACTATGAATCCCAACCATCCAAGACATTGATACTATGAGCGGAATCTCACTGAGACACATGGCTCAACAGTCGACTCGGGCAGGTGTTTGGTTCTAGTTATGAGCTAATGTGCTATTCAGCACAACCGACGATTATAACATATGGGTAGCAATTTGACAGATTCCCAGATATAAATATCAATCCGAAGATTGGTCTTTATTTCCTAGGCTGCATCATTTGTTCCACCGATGAGGATATAGTGGACAAGGGCTGAGTAATCTGGTGAACTTCCAATTTTTGAAAGAAGACGCATGACTTACTTCGATTCGCGTCATAAGCTACTTCAGTTCATCCTCCTGAGCGAACTGGCTTCGATAAGCACCAGAAACAAGTCGGTCAGCTGCTTGGTGCCGACCGTACACTTTTGCCATCGCGTCAGTGATCTCACCGACAGTGCAACGCGCGCGAGCAGCTTCGATTGAGAGGGTAAGCAAGTTCTGACTTCGATCATTTGAGGCGCATGCATTAGTGATTGCTGCCAGGCAAGCTTCGGCCTAGAAATGGAGATACGTGAACCAATACTGACACGAACCCACTGGCTGTCTACTCGACGCAGCAAACGAAAGGACAGTTAATGATGACACATAGAGTACTTAGTCCATATTCATGTTCATATTCCAACATAGACAGTTTGTCCGATAATTGAAAATGTGCAATCATGGGATGAGTAAAATTCGAATCGAAGTATGTACTTAGTGGCTGATCATTGGCCCTAGTCAATTGGTGACAGCTGGACGCTGATTTCGAGGCAAAATTAGTAGAGAAGCGTAAACAATATGAAACTACACAGTTTATAGGAAGAATATGCATTTACAGTTTGGGAGCCGGCGACCCACCTTGGCTTTGTCCCGCTCAGATCGAACCTGTTTGAGTTTTACTATTTGGGACTCCCGTACTTTGGTGTTATAAAGCACTAAAACGTCGACACTTTCCTGTTTCCCTACTCGATACTTGTTCACTCCCACGATAGTTTCTGAATCAATTACAAGGGTAGAAACCGCAGCAAGTGGTCAGTTAGTGAACATGCCATTGTCAGTCACGGAGCTCGTGTCATTTGCGTGGATGGAGTTCAGTGTAGCATCAGATGAGCTTAGTTGCTCCACGGTGAAACGTGATAATCATCAGCAAGGTAAATATGTAGTAACCACTGAAACCCCACACTGATGATAAAGGTGTCCTACAACAGGAAAGTCACGGTGAACAAACAACCTATACGCAAATGTTATGGTACGTTTCGCATCGAAAAAATGGCAGCCAATTGCGGATGAAGTGTTGGCTACGTTTAGAAGCTCTGCGTCTGCGCGGAAATTAAAAAAGCAAGTAAATCTAACACAAACGAGGAAGCTCCAATTTCGAACAGCAACTTGACAAAAATTGGGATGTTATAGCAGTAACAATTCCAGACCAAAGACAACCCATCAGATGAACAGAATCCAAGTAGTTTATGTCTACGTGATAGGTGACTGTTCCGCCGGGAGGCAGGCGAGAGTAGTAATGGCTAAGCAGATTAGTTCAGCGCAACCCCTAGTAAATTAGACACACTCAAATAAATAACAAGCTCTTTAAACTTTTTCCCAGATGGACAGAATTCTGAGACAGCAGTTGACTAGATATTCTCCTACTTAGCATGAGTCACGTAACATTCTAAATAGCATTATTATTTTGTGGTATACTTAAACTAGCGGTCATCAAACTAAGGCATGCCACCTCAGCTCATCCAGATTACTGACGGTACCAGAAGTATCCTGAAAAAGCTTATGGTACATGAAACATGGTGCTACAACTTTTACAGAAGACACTGTACGTCTTATTGTCGATGACTGTTCATTGTTCGAACACTAAGGCTTGCCAGCTCAAGTTTGGTACATGTGACATCATACTATCCTACTATCGGTGACCTGACCTAGTGGAAAACTGTGTGAGTGATCACATATGAAACGTATTCGGTAGTACAACATACTGTGCTTCCTTGTGCCCCAGTCCCTGCGTCACACTTATCCTTCGGTCAGCACATATAAAATAAAACACCGCGCACAAAGATATCATTACTTCGTACGGTGTCATTTTGAAGCCATGTCTCTTGACTATTTAGGACAAATAGCAAGTGGTCGGTATATACTTTTGCTGGAAGCGGTTATTACTGAAATTCGTACAGGTTTGTATTGATATCCGCATGAAATGGTTCAACCATCTAGTCCCAGCCTTGTTTGTTGATTTCACTACTGGGGAACGCTTTAATCAAATCTTTCAAGTGTTTGGCCCCTCATCTACATATATATATATATATATATATATTTCTGCTTCAAAAGTCTTAGATGATATATTTAAACACCGAAGCTCACAGTGAATTTGCCATGTACATTTGATGCACTGTAGTTCCACTTATGGCTGCTGAGCTATGGCTTTTTCGTTTTGATAATATTTTTACTGTTTGCAGTCCAATAGCTTCATCTTTTTCAGATTCTGTTTATTTCCTCCTTGTTTCTGGTTTCTGAGGAAATAAAAGTGGATGTCGGAATTTACCTTCTCCTCATTTTTACGGGGTTTTCCTTCTTGCTTACAAATATCATGAAGAATGACTATTCGGCCCGTGGTGGTTATTGTTTTATTCATCCGGTCCACCGTGAGCAAGTTCGAGGACTCCTGACGTAGGCAATGGAAACGGTGTCGAACGGCATCTAAATTTTGCTTCTCTGAGCCTCAAGCGCCACTTGCGCACTGTACCACGACTGGGTCTGCCATGAAGATGGACCTGACGTTACGCAGTCATCCCTGTCTTGCTAACGTCACATTCTTCCGAAATGGTGTTGTTAGCTAATATGTGGGACTGTTTTCTTCTCAGCAAAATAGATTATCCTTGTATCGACGTAGTTATCGGATACATCATAAGAGGATGCTGCTAACAATAGATACACTGAAACTAACGAGTACACGCAACATGTCAGAGCTGAAATGCTATCAGCTGGTTCCCATATTTTTCCCATTCTTAGGCGTGACATAATTTTAGCACCTAACACAAGGGACTACTAAGGCCACAGAAATGCCAGCTTGGGGCACAATGCTTTCAATGGATAAATACTAGTTCAATATTAGCTGTTTGCATTGCACCACTACATGTCAGTAAAATTTGAAGGATTTAGTAGTTAAAATGCAACCGTTGCGGGTGGGAAATTGGGATCGTTAGTACCAATGACGAATATGTGACAAAGGATACCTCAACATGCAATGCGCGCTAACAGGATGCGGAGTTGCACATAGACAGAATGTCCTCAACACAAGTACCTGCTAATGACTTTATCAATCACAGACATTTTGGCAGATCCATCACTCAAAATTTGCGTCTGTTGATCTTCGGTTAAAGAACACACACATTAAATTGGCTAACACAGCTTCGGTAACTAGGGTAAAAGACAATTGCCATAACTATGCCTTATAAATGTCTACTGACCTCATGGCGGCGCTTATCATGCATAGGGCAACATTTTCTTATCGAATAAGTCAATACACTTGATAACGTGCCTCTTGGTAGTTTACAGGATATTTCGGTGGGCGCATTTTCACGTGGCTCACGAATATGGTTGGTGCGTTTTGAGCGCATTTTTCCGCTGCATCACTGAAAGATTGTTCCCTTCACCAGTCAATCCACTATGTACTCTGCTGTCACTGACATGCTCGGCGGTAAACTTTAACGTTTGTGTAAATAGATCTTCCGAATGTCAGATAGCCAGGACTTGGCTGTAGTCAAGACGGCGGAACTATGGGACACGCATTTCATTCGGTTTTACAATGTCGCGGAAGCAATCATGAAATACCAGTGAGACAGAAAAAACTGCACGCATATATTAAGTTGAACTAGGCCATCCATGGTCAGCTAAGTGAAATAATACCATGCAGATTAGATTGTCGTCCGAAAGATAAAAGAGGCAGAAAAGGTTCATGACATTGGACAGGATCGCATGCCACCCATCAGATTGGTTTACTAGTTAAACGCGTATCCTAAATGCCAACAAAAATAAGGCTGAGAGAGCCTGGTGACAAACGATGAGTTGTTCACTGAAATGGATACTGATATACTTTGGACACGATATACAACGGTGTTGATGAAAGAACTTACCTTTACCAGAATCAATGGCAGCCTGTCTTTTGGCGGCACACTCTTCAATGCGCAGCTTCGGGACACCAGCGTCTATGGCTTTGGACATACCGCCCATGGCTTCAACCTACAGCGAAATTTCCGCGATGCCAATTGTGTTAGATTTGGTATACACTCTTAGTTAGCAAGAGCATTTAAACAACTCAAGTTGTCAGTAGTTTGCCATACATGGAAGTTCTTAATAAAAATACGTTTCAAGTGTCATGTGTAGCAGAAACCGATTCTGTTCAGTAGAATCATGTGATGATAAGTAAAGATGAATCTAATAGATTGGGAATAAAATCGAGCCACAATGGAGCAACAACGTTGATGATTTGGTCCTTCACTCAGTTTATTATAGGTTGGATAAAGGTGACCCGTAGTCACAACACCCTCATCATCTAGATACAAAAGAAATTAGGCTAGCTTTAAACAACTTTTATCTGCTGATCAACACAACTCAGTATTCGTACCTTCGCGTTTAATCGCAATGAAATTATAAAGCGAGTAAAACATAATATTTCTGATTTTCAACTCTTTAGCAAGTCTTATGTTCAACAACTACTGTTGATCCTTAAAAATCCTCGATTTCAAATGTCACTCATAGGATCTACAATATTCAAGTGAAATGTAATTCGCTTGATGCACATTGAGCTTCAACTACTTCCTGTTAGAATTTTTCATGTCAGAACAAACGTCAGTCATCTCTGGGTCTGGGCAACGGAGTTGTATGGCTGGACAGGTTCCGCAAAAAGTGCGCTGCGGTTTATACACACAGCATTTTCATAGTTCTTACCTGTGCGAGTAAGCGATATTCGTCAATTGAAGTGAGAACTGCATATATCACAGAACAACCAGCAGCTCTAGGTAGCGTAACTGTGGTACCTGACCTGTATCTTCATTAGTGGCCCTCTCACTGACTGCGTCCGTTACTGTCATACTTAAAGTCAAGCCAAAGCAAGAATGGGCTTTATAAACACATGAAGGGAGAATATTGAGCTCTAACACACACACATATATTCCGAACATGGATAAATAGTGCAAATGCACAGTATGAGGATAGATATACAGCCATAATCGTTAAGGAGCTTGTCAGAGCAAATGTCACTGGAGTAATATAGTAACCAATTCGGGAATTATGGAATTCTATCATTTAAAAAGACATAAAGGGAATTACTGATATTCCCTAGGTCTTTGTACGGGCGTTAATAGTTTTGTAGGTCTGCCTTGTCGACGGAGTTGATACGCAATCGAACAAAACTCGTTGACGAGGTTGGCTAACATTGGTGAGTAGTTTAGAAGCAAGTTTTTTGCGGGAGCTGCTATGGCTGGGTACAATTATGTCAACAACTTCCAGCCTTGTAATGCCACTACACCAAGCTAGATGCTTTACTGATCTGGCAATTACATTGTGGTCTTTACTCAGGAGGCCATGAAAGAAAACTGGAATGCAATAGGTTCAGTAGTTTAACACACAAGCAGTGAAAAACACTGGATCAAATTGGGTTGGGAAGAAGACATGAGACGTGTAACGTGGTATGAGAAGTTTCCAAATTTGGCGAACATTTCGTTCATGCTAAGGGACCACATAAACCCACCACTAAGTGCCACTTACAGGTATTTTGCTTAGGTGGAAGAAGCCAAACCTTGGTCAACAATGCAAAGTTGCGGACACTGCGTCAGAATTTGTTGGTAGCGATTTACTTTGAACAGTGCACAAGAGCATTCTTATGTTTTGAGGTGTTTAAGGATGAGCAAAGTGGTTTGGACCAAGCTATGAGGTTGTCTAGGAAGATTTGTTATTTTCCGATGACTCAATGATTAGATGATGAACGCCACGTTTTATGTCGTCTGCATACTTTAGCAAAACGATTTCTTCACGGACTGGGATTATGGTAACGCAAGTGGCAAATAAGAAAGGGACAAAATGATTTCCCGAAGAACATCGGATTTCATGCTGATTGAAGATAAGCTTTTCCCATTAGCCTGGTAAACTGGGTTCGCCTGTGAAATAAGCTTGCAACAGAAGAAGATAGGAATTTTGATCTCAAGAACTTAACAGACAGTGCGTCAGTAGTTCACGGTTCACACAACTGAAAGCGTTGCTAAAATCCAGAAAGCAGTTGCGAATGGATATGTTTTTCTTATAAAGTGGTGCGAGCGCAGTATGTACCAGCCACGCTACTGCATCTAAGATGGACTGTGCGATGGGACATGCAAATTGGTGGGCGGTCATCCTAATAGGTCTAGGCTGATATTCTTGTAAGTATCAGCGTCTCAAACGTCTTCAGAGAAACCGAGGTGCAAGCGATCAACCGGTAGCTACAGCGCTTTTTCTTTGGTATTGGCGTGATGCCTGCGCCTAGCCAACTATCAGCTGTCTTGTGTGTGTGAAACTCGTATAGGGTTTGTGCTAGGTAATCTGTAAACCTGTTGAGAACAACAGGAAACAACTTATGCGGATCAGTGTTTGTGCAATTGGAACCCACTTAATTCTCTGTGTACTTATAGACTGTTCACCGAAGATAGGTTAAGAGAATAGCTGCAACTCAACAGAGGAGGTTTCAAAGAATGAAGTACTATCCTGGTCACAAAAATTGAGGTTTAGTTTTTCACATCCAGAGTTGAATGCGCGACTCTGCGGGTGCCTCCTCTTAACTGCTTCAGCATTTTCCATATTTCACGAAAGTAATTGTCTCCAACTAAGGCTTGAATGTAGGTATGGTTGCAGTGATGCAATCCGATCTTTATATCACTCGATAGAAACTATAATGGTGTAACGTCTTAGCGTTTAATAGCCTTTTCTTTAAGCCTAAACAGTCTTTTGGGCTGTTGGGAGGCGAATCTATTGTCACGGATATAAATCGTTTCAACTGGACTAAGGGTGTCGAAGCAGAAGTATGATTAACTAGTTAACAGGTCACAATGCTTCTATGCGCCGCACCATAAAGTAAACTAGTCTGCGGTTTCAATGGCGTCACGCATTCGCTGGATGTTCTGGGGAAGGCATTGTCTCCGCCTGGAATTTCGCTCTTCGTAACAGATGAGATCTTTATGGTTTATCTTTTTACGGATAACGGAAAATAACTTTACAGTGGCATGATTAAGGCTGCCAAGAGGCGACCGATTATAAACAGAAATCGCTTACAGATTGTCAACAAATACCATGTCAAGTGTTGCATTTAAACTGGTTGGACATTGCACTATTTTCTTTAGCCCAAAGCTCGCAGTGGAGCTGGTGTTAGCTCTGTTAAAATCGCTGGCAACTTTTCACAAGAAGTGTTCCAAATATTGGAGGACCGCAGCTATAAAAGCGTCGTGGAATTCATTGACTTGGTAGCTAGGACAGCTTAGTGAGATATAAATATTAACCAATAAAAGCGAATGACAATAGTCCAACAAGCTTGACTTCCATTTCACCATTAACAGCTGATTCGTTGCGAGCTGTATTGTAAAATGCATTTAATTGACGCGCTGCATGAATATTTAATGTAAACGATAACAACACCACCGTGGTTTCTCTGTGTACATTAGCGATCAACTCAAAAGGAGCGAAATCCTTCCAGTACAACAACTGCATCCGTAATAGCAGTGTGAAGCCAGGTTTCTAGCAGCATAATGATGCCCAAGCCAGGATATTTAGGACATATTATAGCATTTCTAAGGGCTTCTATTTTTCCAAATAGCGATCAAATATTGGCACTGAGTAAAACTGGTAGGCTTGTATTTCCAATATTTTCTTCCGAAGTGTAACCCGCCATCCGGCACGGTGTTTTGTGCAGAAATGCATTGCCATCTTTGATCCCTCTATTTGGCTTCGTATAGTTTGACTAGGAAAGTGTAAACAATCATGTCCATGGTTTCAGAACAACGTACGCAACAACAACATCAGCAACGGGGTTTTGATAATACTGAAACGCCTGTATGTTAGTAAATTTGTTGGATAGGATTTAAAGAGCACGGCAAAATTTTCTGGCCCTACAGCGTGATGACTGCCTGTTAACGAGTTTTCAGGCAGCAGTGCAACTTGATGAACGGTATGAGGAATTAGACCAATAAAGTTCAATGCACAATGAACAATGAATTTATACAGGTTAAGAAGCTTTGCTTTACAAGTCCCGTTGGATAGCTGGTGGGGATATCGACATAAGCATATTGATAGTAATGATAGAATAACAGTTAATACTTCTGATATGATAATAAGGACTGAGTT